TATTGATTATAAATTATTTATAATTAGTTAAATAATTTTTTGTTTATATATTCCGTGAAATCCATAAGTATTATGTAATATATACTACTTATTTCTATCCATTTATAACTAGTCAAACATACGCAATGACTAATTCTTCTAAAGCGAAAAGTTTATTTTTCTTTATTGTGTTTTTTGATCCCTAGGAAGGCCCAAAATTGTATTTTAACCCCAAACTAGACAAGTTTTGCATTTAAAACTTGTTCTAGAATCTAGCCATTGTCTAGCCAATGATAGAATATATGTTGCAAACTTGTGAATTTCATAAAATATAATTGTTGACTATTTTATAATTAGATTTTATACCCTGGTTGATTCATATTCTTTTAAAATTCATTTTTAACCACACATTTTTTAATAAAATAATATTTTTCATCACATCCAAAAAAATTTCTTATTTTTTAACCACATATTTTCTATCACATCACAATTTAAAATACATTATTCCCTCAATAATGTGTATCAAACACCCTATTAATCTATTTTTTTAGCCAATCCAAACACAGCCTAGTAAAATTCTCATATTTGAAATATTGGCCAGAAGAACCCAACATGAGAGTTCTCGAATTGCACTAAAGTCCCTGAAACTTCGACAATATTGCAAATATAACCAAGATCTTTCTTGTGAATATTGGGTCTTTACTTTGAATGTATTTTACAAGTCAAAATCGCAGATGAGGTACCCAATTTAATAACTTTTTATTATTTTATTATTTCTTTTTTTTTTATGTCTACACTAACGACTATCATTTATTCATTTCTACTATAAAAGCTCATACTTAATGCCATTTGAAGGTAAAATTTATACTTGCTGATAACATTATTCTTTTTCCTTTTACTCTCTATAAATCGATTCTACACCGACCCCTTACATTCGAACACTTTTGTTGCTCATGTCCATAGCAACCCTCATACCAAATATTCATATAAGATGACTAATTTCATAGTCAGAGTACATGTGGCCGCGTTCCCTACCTCCAGAGAAGGCCATGTGTTCTTAACGATTTGTTCAAGTGTACAAGACAAAGGCTACATAGACATAGCTGGAGCAGAGATCTATTGGCCACGTTAATAATGAAAAAATCGAGATCATCTTCTATGGGAAACCACACTATCATCCATCAGAAAAACCGATGGAAAAAGCTTACCACAAAGTGCTTCAACTTCCTCCTTGAAAAGAGTTTTGTTCTTGAATAAAGAACAAATGAAAGTTCTGAAGGAAAAATGTTCTAAGGTCCTGTTTGATATCAGGGATTTTCCATGGAAAATGGAATTCAAATTCCATTTTCCATCTTTAGTAGTGTTTGATAGCACCAAATTTCCATGTAAATGATTTTCCACAAACACCTCACACGTGCACATTTTCCCATTTTTGCTTGAATTGGTTTTCCCACCTTTTTGGTGGGAAAATGGAATTCCACCTTCGACAAAAAAATGACTTTTTTGTCAATATATATATATATATATATACTTATATATATACTTTTTCGCAATAGAAACAAATTTTATAACCAATTGTAAAAAACATTATCACTTTAATAGACAATTTCCATATAAAACAAAGTCAAATGAATACAAAAAGATCCAAAATTTTAAAATTTTTTGGGTGGAAAATTATGCCAATCAAATATACTTAATTAACAATTTCCTAAAAAACAAGTTCTGGATAATTATTTTTTCTGAAATTTATTTTCTTTCCACCTATTTTCCACCCTTACAATCAAACGAACACTAAGTGTTTTTTGCTATTGGGCGTCTTGACTCTTCCTCGAAATGAGGATTTGAAGAGAAAAATATGTTCTAGAATACTTCCTCTTTGAATAAAATTAATAAGGGTATGCCGACCATAAATGCAAGTGGAGAAGAAAGAAACTCGAAGAGAGCTAGAAAGGTCATTGAAGAAGGGCTACCTGGGCGTCATCCATTGCCGGCCTCATCATCGCAAAGGTGTTAGGATTGCATCTTCCCTCGTGATTGAAGGGTAGAAATGGCCATGACATGAGAAAAATTATGAATTAGAACTCTATAATACAACAGGGCCTCTTATAAATCAAGGACAAACGAGTATTCAAATTCTCCAAATGTGCCTCAGCCAATTCTATTCCACCAACAAGAAGAGAGAGAGAGAGAGAGAGAGAGGGAGGTACAGAGTGAAAGGACCCAATTTTACAGGCATAGAGAGGTGCCAACCATATTGAAAGGGAGATAAGAGTGAATGTACATACAAACTACACATCTGGCCAACCTTCGAATGACCGTTCAATAGAGAATGATTTCCTCCTGTCTAGAATGAGAGTGAAGACCTTAAAGGCCTCCTAGCATTTTCGATAGGATAGGCCTCGAGGCACCAAGAAATAGGCCCAAACAACTGCCTCCTATGTCAACGCCCCATGAACAAGTGCAAAGTCATGAGCTCCAACATGATCCCCAACCTAGAAATAAGCAAGCGAGGAGGTCAGCTAAGGCTATGAATGCCCAAACGACTCGTTATTATGCTGATGATGAGGATTCAGATGGCCTGTAGGTCCTATGAGGATAATAATGATGATGATGGTAATCTCTCATTCTCCCAAGAGATTTGATGCGTCCACATTCCAAGCTATTTTATGCTTTCCTAAAAAAATACCCATGTATGGAATAAGGGCAACCCAGAGGAGTACCTCAACACTTATGAGACTCTTATGAGGTAGAGAAGAGTTTCACCAACTTTGATGTTCGGAGCCTTCCATGTAACCCTTTGCGGAGCAGCAAAGAGATGGTATAATAGGCTCCATCAAGGGAGTATCAGAAGTTGGCCAGACCTCAAGAGACAATTCTTGAACAACTTTCTATCCAAATATGATAGAGGGCTCCAATCCAAAGCTTCCAAGACATAACCGATGAAATTCTAAAGAGTATCTATACTGTTCCACTGATTAAATGATATATTACAAGGTCTTCAACACAATAGTCCTGTATGCCATGAAATGAGGCCTTAACATGAACATCGTGTTTTAGAGGGATGTTCACAACAAAAATCCACCACCTATGACCTACTGGTAGAGATGATGAGTGTTGAGATCATCAATGGATAGATGATCGTCCATTGTAATGGGGCAGCTCGTGGACTTTCATCCCTTTAAAGACAGAGGTAGAAACCCCATCTTCCATTTTGTAAACCAAAAGTTATCCAAGTAGGGGATTATATTGTTCTCACATCAGATTAGGGGTACGCCTCCGCCACACTAAGGGCCTGTTTGGTATGGATTTTGATCTTCTACAGTAAATCAATTCTCATTTTCAAATACACATTCTTCAATAAAATAATATTTTCCATCACATCAATAATTTTTCTACTTTTTCAACCACACATTTCCCATCATATCACTATTTAAAATCAATCATTCCCCCAAAAATCTTTCCCAAACAAGCACAAAATATAATTGTTTGACTTTTTTATAATTAGATTTTATACCCTGGTTGATCCACATTCTTTTAAAATTCATTTTTAACCACACATTTTTCAATAAAATAATATTTTTCATCACATCCAAAAAAAATTTCTTATTTTTTAATCACATATTTTCTATCACATCACAATTTAAAATACATTCTTCCCTCAATAATGTGCATCAAACACCCTATTAACCTATTCTTTTAGCCAATGCAAACACAGCCTAATAAAATTCTCAAATTTGAAATATTGGCCAGAAGAACCCAACACGAGAGTTCTCGAATTGCACTAAAGTCCCTGAAACTTCGACAATATTGCAAATATAACCAAGATCTTTCTTGTGAATATTGGGTCTGTACTTTGAATGTATTTTACAAGTCAAAATCGCAGAGGAGGTACCCAATTTAATAACTTTTTACAAATGAGTCTCTAACCTATATTTTTTCTTATTTAGACCCCAAACCTGTAATTACAAGTTGTAGATCAAATCGGCATGTCAACTCAAGCATGAGTCATAAGTCAATCAACACAATGAAGACGATGCACAATTGCACACACACATGGTTATTGAGCTGCTACGTGTACATGGAATTTTGTTAAGGTCTATTTGATAAGTAAATGTGAAAATGAATTACAATTTCATGTTAGTTGGAAAATGAAAACTCACCAAATCCATAGAAATTCGTTTTTCATGAAAACAAAGAAAATGCTGCTTAAAATGGTTGTATTTTAAAATTCGATTTCCATTTCCACGTTGCAATCAAAAGACCAAAGTGAAATTCGTTTTTCTCTGATGTGACATTTTCCATGAAATTCGTAACAATCATATAGGACCTTAGTGTTTACACGGAAGGACATTTGCCAATTGACAAAAAAGGAAAAAAGAGAAACTAATCATGTTTTGCACTTTACATTGAGTGGCAAAAAATTCCCCCTATAAGGGGCATATGAATAATTTTACTTGTACAAAATAAAATTACATAATGATTTACATATAAACGAGATATCCAAAAGAGGGTGAAAAAGTTTTTTTATTTGGTTGAAGAAATTTTGATATAATCATTTATCGTCACATCATTTGTATGTAAATTATTATGTACATGTAGCACAGTTCATAATTGAATAGAAAAAGATTGTTCCTTACTCTCCATTGTGTTACGTATACTTAATAATTTTGCATAATAATTTATTGATGATTGATCGTAATTTTTTCAGTCAAATAAAGAATTAATTAGGGTTTCCATGCCTTTATAAAATCCTTATCAAATTTAGCAAATCATTCATTTCGTTAGAAGTCGTAATAGTGTTAATTACTCGTCGCATAACCATTTTTTCTTGTAATTTGTAATGCATCTTTTTCTTGATAGAAATCTCCACGACCAAGTAACTTCTTCTTTTTTGTTCCTGAAATTGTTTGTTTTTCATGAAAATGGTTAATTTCTTGAATTTATTATGTTTTATAGCGAGGAAAGGGAAAAATAATTTATGAGTTATCTGCAATGTTTGAAAATTGAACAGTTATATTGTGATGGAAAATTTGAACCCAGTAATACTAGAGATAAGCTCCGATGATGAGGCCAGTTTCGACGATGGCGGCGGCGGCGGCGGAGAAGACCATGATTGGCTATCGGAGCTATTAGACGAGGTGGATGGAGGTACGGATGATTCTGATGACGTGGTTTTCGTGGATGAGGTGGTTGTCAAGCCAAAGAAACCAAGATTAAGTTCTCCTAATTCTTCTGCAAAAACTGTAAATTATAATGGCGGCTATGATGATGATGATGAGTGTGTGATTCTCGATGGTGACCCTGATAAGCTGTTGGCGGTCGAGAATAGTAAAGTAGATGATGAGGGTTCTGATGATTTGCTTGTTGTTGGTGAAAAGGGACAGGTATTGGTTTTTCCCCCTTTTATCTTCCTTTAAAACAAAAATTTGGGATCTTGGTTTTATTATTTGAGTCTCTACTAGATCAATGTGCTTGATGATTAATTTATTGCTGTATTTCGTTCTAATGATAACTTAGTTATATCGATGTTGGGATTAGGATCTATGATTTCAGTTTTGAAAGGTCCGTGGAATCGAAATATGAATGAGAATATCATTGTATTCTGCTTTGTGTTTATTGAATTTTTCAGTCTATTTGTTTGTTTTGTGGGAAGAGGGACTGCGCAAAATTGTGGGTTACTTTTCTGTTTATGGCATTTAGATAGTTCGTATTTTCCGCTGTTTCAGATTGCAGCTTAAGAAATAATCAAAAAAGATGGATATCAAGAGATCTGCTGGAGGTTTGCAGGGGATTCTCGTATATCTTTAAACAATGCTTATGCTGTAAAGAATTTATGCTTTGTTGACATCTGGTACTTCTTGGTTTCATAAGAATGAACGAATCATATTACAGGTGCAGAAGTCAACTTTTTTATGACAACCATATCAATTCGTGGGCAGTCAAGCATTTGCGGCTTGATTGGCATACAATTGGGTAATATATGGAGCCGTAGAATATCTTGCGATGGTGTATATTTTTCAATGATGTTTTGTTGGTTTCAATTAGCTTGATTCTGATGTTAGAATTGATTGTGGATTAACGATATTCTGTCAGTTTCTATTATATTCTGGTCCTCGGTATTTATTTGTTTTTCAATGTTATTATGTTCTTGTTTCACTAATAAGAATTATTCAGATATCTAGATGCGCTTTGGATAACGACAAACTAAACCTACATGATTCATTTTCATTATTTGATTCAGTCCATCACTAGATCTAGCAAAAGATCTTACTCACTAAGATATTTTATTACCACGTTAGTCCATTTTCATTTAGCGTACCTCTCGCTCTTGTAACATTTTCTACTGCGTTCATATTCTCTTGTGAATACGAGTATGAACTTTGAAGACATGCCCCAAATACCTAAGTTGCCCCTCTCTTCATTTATCTTGAATTGGTGTGCCATGCTTCTTGGCGTCCATCTACTCTAGTATATCCACGCGTTCTTAGAATCCCCATTTCCATTCTGCATATGCCATATCTAACTTAGGTCATTGTAAATGGCAAATATTCTTTGTTCTTAAGGCTTCTTCAGATTTAGCTTGTTTTCTTGATGTTTTCTATGTGATTCAGGTATCTTTTTTTTTCTAGTTTTTAATACTTGCCTTTTGTGGGTCATGATTTATATTTTCACCAAGTTACCCAAGAACCCCACTTTGTTTGCTTCAAAAACATCTGCATTTATTTTAGTCGCTTTCCTTTCCTCAAATAGATAAAGAAAATGAAAAGAAGATATTGTTGGCTTGATTTAATGGAGATCTTGTATGACATATATTTCTGCTTATCCCTTTCGCTTTCCATTTTAGGTTGCATGCAGAGACTTCCCTCACCCGCGGCATCTTTGCGTAACATTTCCATTTGCTTCTACTCCCCATGATACTCACTGTGACCGGGTGATTTTCTCATTTTAACATATATATATATACACACACACACATGCACACACATATATATACATATATATGTGTATACATGTATACATATATATTTACACATGTATATATCTATGTGTGTGTGTATATTACCATTTTTATTTTTATTAAACAAACATGCTGCCATTGTAACTCTAATTTTCTAATTTCAGTGTCATTGTTATGTTTGTGACTCACTTGCTCCATGTGTCCATTGGAGCTCCAGCATTTCCAGCATTGACCATTGTCATGCTACAGATAAAGAGGAGTTTTGGAGAGCTCAACGGAAAAGCATGAAGGAAAGTGACAAAACACAACCAATTACTAATGTTGTTCCCCATGTGAGTCCGGTTCAGTCATTGCCTCCAGTACAGGCCAACTCTTTGGCGCAGAATCAGGATTTTAATCAAGTCACAGTGCGCCCTAGGACCCATTTTGGCATTCCAAATATCACGAATCAAGGCAGAAGTCAAGCATCTAGATCTGCTCTTCCTGGATATCAATCACATTTGGTCCGCCAACAGTTGCATAGTAGTACACACAATAGGAGTGATTTCTCTAGGACTAGAAGGCACACTGTAGGAAGCAGAGGCCCTCAGTTCATTACTCCATGTACAGCCTTCAAAAAAAGTGGACCGGCCCAGGTTGATTCGGTGAATGATAGGCGTGGCTATGGTTTATCCAAAAACAACTACATGTCGCAGTTTTCTAATAACCCGCCTCTGCCTTGGTGTCATGCTTCTCGTGGCAAAGTGCATACGAGTGTAAGTGATTGTGCAAATTTTGCACCCCACGAACCTCAAATGTCATCTCAGACACCTTTGAGCAGCCCGGTTACAAATGCAATACCCTCCCAACCTCAAGTGTCTTCTCAACAATACAGAAGCAATCCCTTGCAGCCCCAAATTGCTTCCCAGCCGTATGTCAGTAACCATTTCCAGAACACGACTATCCCCCAGTGCTCACTGGTGTCACGGCCTAATGGGGGCAATGCCTTTCATCCTGTATCTTCTCAAAGCCGTGTTACCAACCCACTCTACACAGGCAACACTTTTGAACATCCACTGTCCCCAATGTCCTCGCAGCGCAATATGGATAGCTCCTGTGGACGTTTCATCTCATCTCAACCTCAAGGTTATACTGACCCTACTTCGTTACCGAATGGACAGAATATTTTTCAGCAAGAGAATCAAATGCAAAGTGGTCTTGATTCAAATTGCGCAGATTTTGGGTTTAGTTGGGTTCCCCCTATCAGCGGAAGCAACCAACAGATCCCTGCAGGTAGTTCCCAACTTCAAAATCCAGTACCGGCAAATAATTTCCTGTATCAAAGTGTAGCAAAAGAAGATGATGCCCAGTTTCAAAGTGTACCAGCAGAAGATAACTCGTATGTTCATGTACCAGAGGATAGTTTTTCCCTCGTAGATGACATTAATTCCCGGTTTCCCGGGATTACAGATCCTGACTCATTGGACTTTCAATTTGACACTTGGATGTTTGAGAATCAGTCTGTTCCAGGGGCTTTGGAGGTTTCTGTTCCTCCTGGGTTGAATGCATACTCCCCTGAACCGGGTACTATAGATGCAGGGACTCTCTTCGAATTTTAAGTCTTTTACTAATCATGGAAAATGGCAGGCCTAGAAATGCGAAGAAAAAAAGGGCATTTGATATTTTTGATGATGTATAAGAATAGTCGAGCTGGGGGGTGCAGAGATCTTCCTTGTTTGAAAGTTTCTTGTACTGAAACTCGTCTTTTGTTTAATCCCCGCTCTGGAAATCTCTCGAATGCATTGAAATTGTAAGAATATTCAATTCCGTGCTAATTTATTTTAGCGAATTCTCGTAGGGGAACTTAATATAAAGCAATAAAACGTTTCCACATTTGCATTTTCCTAGCTGAATTATATAGGATGAAATATGTGTTGTATGATACAGATGCTTCAGTTCGAAAATTATTTTCAGTTGCTGTGATTTGCTAATAATAATATTCATACCACACTGAGGATTTCTTTCCTGGTTTCATTTTATGTAGCTGCTTTTAAGAGTTGTTCAATTACTAAACACCACACGCTAGTGATGTATTCATTTTTAAAAGATTCTCTATTTTTAAATAATATATTCTATAATTTAGAGATCATCTAAAGAAGAAAAACTTTTTAAGTCTTTGAACAGACTCTTTATATTTAACACTCAATTTTACTATTAAAAAATGTTTATTATTTTTCCTATTTTTTATTTTCTCTAATTTTCCTTTAAATTATTATATTATTTAATTATAAATAGTGGCAAACTTATTTTCTAAATTAAAATGTTAATTTAAAGAGTTTCTTAAAACATAATTTTAAATATTGACTTTTTAAAATAGAGAACATTTTATGTTTAAAGAACCTTTTGAAAATATTCTAATAATAGTATATTTTTAGTGAATATATATTTATCACGTCATATATAAATTAAATGTATTAATAACTAAAAGATAAATGATAGAAATTAAATTTAAAACATCTCACACTAAAAAAACGTACATTTTTTTTTCTCACGAGAGTTGATCAGAGATCAAATTCAATTTTGATAAGAGAGTTTTCTAGGATTTAAGGAATTACACGATAATTGCCGAGACAGACTCACCATGAATATTAAGTAGTTCGAAGGCAAATGGCACATGACCCATACAAATTTATATTTATGTATCCACTATCTATATATCGATTATCTTTCTTATTTATTATTTTGAAGCCAGATTTAACCCTCTCATATATATATTTTTTCATTATTAATAAAATGGGCTACAATATAGAAGTTGAAGAATAGTTTGGTAATGCACAAAGAAAAGCAAAAGGTTTTTTTCAGATATAAAAAAAGTAAAAGGTGATAATAATGTGATATGTTTCCTTTTTTTTTTTCACTTTAAAAAGGCACTTTGTTTCAAAAGTAACTTCTGAGTCATTATCAACATACGAAATTTAATTTTTTATTAACTTCAAGTGATAAATATTGTTGATTGCAATGATCTGAGAATGGACACTGTCCAAATCTAAGCAAACCATCAAGGAAACTGTCAAATTTCAACCAAAGAGGCAAAATCCAGTAAAATAAATATTCAGTTCCAAATCCAAAAACAGGAAAGATGAACTTCTGTTAATAAACCATTTAACCAAGCAGGTGAAAAAAAAAACGTCCAGCAAAACGAATTTTCGTCTCCCGGGTCATGAAAGGGAAACGGGCAGAAAACAACACGTTGACAAGGAAAATCCACTATTGATAACAGAACGCACGTTGGATCATATTATGCAAACATATTAAGCACAACACGGAGGCAAGCCCCATCATGCATCAGATCAAAACCTTTGTTTATCTCCGCAAGAGTCAAATTATGAGAAATGTACTCGTCAACCTTGATTTCCTGTAACGTGGAGAAGCAGATTGAGTTTGGAAAATGTGAAAAGCAGAAGAAAAAGATCAAAAACGAAAAGGATTATATAAATATAATGCTCCTGCATGAAAATTACGGTACTCACGTTCTTCATATACTTGTCAACAAGCCAAGGAACTTGAGAACGGCTTTTAAAACCACCAAAAGCTGTACCCTTCCAGACACGACCAGTAACCAGCTGAAATGGTCGTGTAGATATCTCTTGACCTGATGCTGCAACACCCACAATGACCGAGGTTCCCCATCCCTACAAATTTATAGAGAAGTTCAGCATACCCAACTGCAAATGCAGCATTCAAGATATCCAGTTTGAGCCCCATTTTTTGCCCAAAATGCATCTTTGAATAGTATTTTGATGGAGAACGTGTGATTAAAAAGTAAGGAAAAGTTTTGGATTTACGTGTAATATTATTTTATTGAATAATGTGTGATTAAAAATAAGAGAGAGAAATGTATTTTGGAAATAATGGGGACCAAACAAGGGCATAAGTAATAAATTTTCAGACAAGTTACCTTATGGCAGCACTCCAGAGCAGACCTCATTACAGAGACATTCCCAATGCACTCAAAACTATAATCGACGCCACCATCTGTTAGATCCACAATTACCTGCTGTATTGGTTTATCATGGTCTTTTGGGTTGATAAATTCAGTCACGCCGAAGTTCTTCGCTGTGAATCACAATTTGCAACCAGAAAAATAAGAGAGATTTGCTTGAATAGATTAGCAACTAAATAGACCACGTATCCCACTCACACCCAAATAAACTTGTTTTAGTAATCCCCTTTCTCAAGTGATCTGATAAATTTATGTGCACCAAAATAACAGTGTTACTTTTAAATTCTTACGGTGGCAAAGTGACTCAGTTTACTCTAATAATGGCACGAGATGCTCAGATAATGTCCATGCATCCTTTAAATATAATGAATAACAAAATCAATTAGAATGAGTCGGTGATATCTAAATATGCTTGGATTTACATCTCATTGAACCTTAGTATTTGGGCATGCTAATTTCCAATACGTCTCTAATCCTCATCTAGACAAGGTGAAGATAACAATTATCATAAATTTTATGATATAAATACTCATCATTCAATAATGACACGAAATCAACAAACACAAACAGTCTTACCAGATGGATCATGGATATGTTTCAGAGGGGGAATATTTGATGGAATTAAGATTTTATTACATAATTAAATAAGCAGACAACTATCAACTGGCCTTTTGGCAGCATTAAGAAGATGGAGAACTCAGCAACTGAAATCAACAATGCTTCTGCAGTATTCACCATATTGACTGTCTGTCTAACAAACTTACACCAAGAGCTGACCTCCAGAGCGTTGCATTAACAATATTACTAAAGAAACGAAAAAAGAAGATGCAGCACGTATTTGTTTTGTAACTTAACCCAACTATTACAGAGAAATTAGTAGAACATTGTCTCGTATTACCTTTTGGCTCCTGCCGACCCTTCATTCTCACACTCCCACACCCCAAAGAATGGATAAACATTATAAATGAAGGGTTTCTATTTTACGAACATATGGCTAGATTCCGCTTTTCAAATGGAAGAGAAATACTCCAAAGCCAAGTAAAAATGGTCAGTAAAATAATGCTTAGTCAAAAGTAAAAGTACTTTAGTAGAATTTTGTTTCCCCATTTAAATTCTCAGGTAAAGGAAATCATATCACAATACATGAAAGGTAAGCCCTCTGTTAGGTTATCGAAGGAAAAAAACTATAGCATTTTTTATAATCATGAAAAAACAACTAATCAGCTGTCAATGCAGAAAATACTGCAACAGCAGTAGTGAAATGTAGAAAGTAATTTTGTAGGTTAAACTGGAAAACCATAGATCACTTGGGGAACTAGTTTTCTGGTACTTAAGTTTATATGGGGATAGTGGTGGCGGCATAATACCTGTATCAAACTTTTTGCTATCAATGTCAATTCCAATTATCCGTGAAGCACCAGCAGCTTTTGCACCCTCTGCTACCTACAACAATGAGAAAAATCATTGGTCATCATAATCATATGATCAGGACAAGAATCAGATCATCCTACTAAAAACTTACAGCAAGTCCAACAGTGCCAAGGCCAAAAACAGCAACAATAGAGCCTGGTTCTACTTTTGCTGTATTCCAAACTGCTCCAAGGCCTAAGGCAGCACATTGTACAGTATTAAAACATGTCCAAAAGACTATGACTACAGGATTATCATCCATAAAAACACTCCTAACAGATGTACAAAATAGTAAAGATTTTGGAATGGTACGTTAAATGGCAGAAGCAGTTGAAAGGAAACATAAAACAGTTGCTAGAAGGGTAGATAAGCTAGATGGAAGAAGAATCTGCACTCTGTGAACCTAAATCACCGAAATACATATTATTTTGCTGATTAATATACTAGTAAACCACAGGAGCCAGAGTGAAGTGTGGAAAAGGAATGATATCTGAAGAGAGTGATATTGATCGAGACTAATCCTCCCATTGCTTCATGGGCTTATTGAGAAAAACAACGTTAAAATGGATAGAACCTTGAATTTGATGATGAATTGCAAGATACAGTTTTCTAAATAAGAAAATTCACAGCATCAATGGAAATGGACATCTAGGTTCCTGTGTGCTAATTAGCCAATTCACAAAATCATACAAAAAGAAAATAAACTGCATATTTAATTCCATCATATAATTGGATTGGGAAATGGCTTGCCTGTTGGAACACCGCAACCTAGAAGACATACTTTCTCCAAAGGGGCTTTGGGATCAATCTTTGCAACACTAACATCATGGACAACAGTATACTGACTGAATGTTGAAGTTCCCATGAAATGATAAATAGGTTTGCCATTGATCGAAAAACGACTATTACGGTCACTCAGCATTACTCCAGCTCCAGTAGCTACCCTTACTTTCCCACAGAGATTTGTCTTCCCTGATTTGCAGAACTTGCATTCTTTGCATTCTGCCTGGTAACAAGGAATGACATGGTCTCCAGGCTGAATCTCAATCACGCCTTCTCCAACACTTTCAACGACACTGCAATTCCAATAAAATAATGAATTCATATTATTTCTTCATTAGAAAAAAGGAGCTGTGCCAAAATTGCAAATGGTGTATATGTGTATCATTAACATAAAACGTACCCTGCAGCCTCATGACCAAGAATACATGGGAAGAGACCCTCGGGATCCTTGGGAGATGAGAAACAGTAATTAGATCACAGTGCAGAAATATTAAAGAGAACATCAACAGTATTTTGAATTTTCTCTCTTTTTTCCCTACATATAATTGTGTGTATATCCATTGAGACCATCACACTGCATAAAGCAATTTAGATTTATGGCTACTGAACAGAAAGCACAATCAAATCTCGATGAATTGGAAATTCAAATTATCACACAAATATTCTATTGAGACTTTGTTTACACATCAAGCACCTCAATGAAAACCAGTTCATGAAAAATCAAAAGCTTAAGTTAATAACATTTGCATTCTCAAAAACTTGCTTTTCAAGATGCTAGATAGGAAATTATGTACTAGTTCTTGAACAGAAGCAACGCCTGATAAAGCACTTTTATCCATCTTCATACAACGGGTAACCATGCAGTATCAACTCACTCTAAGAAACTACATTTTCACTTTTCGGCTCTCTAAGACAGAGAACTGACTGATGGCCAAATTTAGCTGGGCTTTGGCTCATTTCAGACATATCGTGATGATCTCATTGTATAAGCCCATACGAGCTTAACATGTGGTCAAGATTTCAATATTCAAAATGCTGGTATATAAACAATAAGTCAAATTGAATTCTGCCTGACCAAAACTTGCTCACTGTCACCTACAATCTCAAAATGTCCCACCGTTAACCTTTTTCAATCCTCATAACCCAAGTTTTACCAGTCCTCAGCTTGCTTAGATCAAATACCCATGTAAATGGATCTATTAAAAATTACAATCCAATCTTTAAATCACAAAATCACCACTAGAAAATCCACGGTCAAACACAATCCTCCGTTCTGAAAAACAAAAACCTTTTAACTTTCAAAAAGCTTTCAAAATTTCAATATTTTTGTAGAAAGACATACCATCACATCCTAAATCCAATAAATATTTCATTTCAATCAGTATTTGTATGAACAGTACACACGTATCTATCTATATCATAGTACCTTTCCGCTCCATGTGTAAGCGTCTGTGTGGCAGAGGGCAGTAAAGAGGATCTTGATTCGAACCTCGCCGGCTTGCGGCGGCGCCACCTGAACCTCCTCGATCACTAACGGCTTGTTGGGTTCCCAGGCCACCGCCGCTAAAATCACACCAACTCAGCTTAGGGTTACAATTTTAAATACAAACTATATACAATATACGCCTACACAAATACGTATACATATATAAGTATTATTATATAGAGAGAAAGTACCTTTGCAAGTGATCACTTGACCTTGCGTAGCCATGGAGTCGATGTATGGGAAAAGAAATCACACACGAAATACGGTGAGCGATGAGAATCGTAGTGACTGTGAGAAGTGAGCTGCCAGAATTGATTTTTTTATATTCTTGTTTGGTAGAGTAGCGTGTGAGAAGAATTGATTTTTGAATAGTGACATGACGAGAAATGCGTTGTTGAAAAAGAAGAAAAAATTATTGTTGATGAAAAATATTATTTTATTGAAAAATGTATAATTGAAAATAAGAATTGATTTAATGTAGAATTTGGGAGTAAAAATCAAACAAGCCATTAATTTACGTGTGTTTAAAGTTATAGAGTCGAGCAAACTCCATATTTGACCAACGCACCAGACTTAATCCCTTGAGCACCACCATTTGGTAAATAATATATTTTTGAATAATTAATTGATGGAGAATGTATGATTAAAAAATAAATAAAAATTTTGAATTTATGTGTAATATTATTTTATTAAATAATGTGTAATTGAAGATAAGAGAAATAAAAATGTGTTTTAAAAATAATGAGATCAAACAAAGGCTAATATAGCAAACTCGAGATATGCACAGAAAAATTCGACATTACCATTTCTTGATCAAATCAGGGGACGAATTTAGGATTGGACTGCAAAAATTAAAAATTATGCCTGACTAATGTGTAAAAAACAAAAATTCACAAAAATATTCATTTCTAAACCCATTAGTGGTGCAAATTACACGGGCGATTGGTACGCAACCATTTTGGCCAAGCAAATGAACAAAATGGGTGATTTGCACAAAAGAATTATCGATATGAAGGTCCAAATGCTAAAATTGAAACGATAAGAAGTATTACAAAATGAAAGCAAACACTATGAAAGTTTTATACCAATTACTCGTCAAATTATCGCTAGTTTCACAATTTAATTCTCAATTCAGTGTAATTTTTAGTAACATAACTTGACCCAATATTTCCCCGATTCTATTAGCAAGAATCCTTTTTGTATCTGACCTGGCCCGTAATGTGTACGCTATATGCAAACTGGGAGATTTTGTCTGTCTATCTGAGTTTATCTCTATTCTTTTTTATAGTGGTCGTATATGGCAAGGAAATGTTTTTACTAATTAGTTGATATTAGGGAGGTGATGAAACGAGTAATATAACCAATATTTTTCGTAAAATAAATCATAAAAATTTTGCTACCATCGCCTCCACCCCTTAATTGATCGAAACTTTTGAGGTTGAGAGTCCCAAATAGACTTGTTGCTTTCTTCGTTGGTTGAGTTTTCTTGAGCTCGACGACTTTGCATAAAGTTCTACACAACATGTTATGAATCGATTATTAAGTTTATTTTTATGGTCGATCTTTCAGGAGGTAGGTAGGCTTGAGGACCCAATCACGATACAGTGAAAATGGGCGGCATCATCATATGCTCCACTTTTATGGTCGATCTATCACCGAATCTACTTAAACAACCTAGAAGTTTGGATCGTCCCGTTTGGAATGGCTTAGTTTGGACCGCCACGTTCGAGTGTTTGCTCATTGTTTAGGCTCGTAAGTTAGATTTTGGCTTATTGTAGTCACTTGCAAAGTTTTTCGCACCTAGATAGTACAAGGACCCTTGCGCCTTAGGCATCGATTGAATAAAGCTGCCCGATTTTGGGCATCTGATCGACATAGACGTTGAATTTAAGAACACAAGGGAAATAATTTTTATTAACAAAAATTTCTTTTAGAATATAAAAACACTACTTTCACAATTAATTAAGGAAGCACGCACAGCATATAACTCCACTCTCTCTCCACTATCTTCCTTATTTTCTGACTTCCTCACTCCTCTTTCTCGCTCGCTCTATCTCTGCTTATCACACTTACACACAGAGGAAACATATATATAAGTTGAAGTCGGTGGTTTTAATTTTCTAAAGAATTCTTCAAATGGTGGTGATATATGTTTCTCTTCATGCAGATTATATTCTAGATAGTTCGTCCATGGAAATAAATTCAGCAACTTGCTTATCCTTCCATGGTCTTCTAAATTAGAGGTAATGGTTTGATAAAATTGATTCCTTCTTGTTTCTTCTTCAATGTTGATGGCTATGAAAAAATCTGGAAAATTGGTCATGATTCTTCAATTTTCCCATTCAGAACCAACTTTTCATTTTAACTCTTTTCTTTTTAGTCAAACTCGACAAGTTTTGATGTGATCGACCATTCAATTAATCTCTCCAACTCTTTCATTTTTTTCTCTTTATCAATTTTTAGATTAACATGATTTGTACTTAATTTCTCATGTCCGTCTAACTTCCTTATTTGTGATTGTGAATTTTGACGTATTTCAATCTCTTCTTGTAGATTTTGTTGATCCTCCACTAATATTTCCTGGTCCATGACATTTTGCTTAGGAATCTGTGTCACTCTTGTAATCTCTACTTTAACAATTGATACCTATAGATCTTTAGATCCCTCAACTATTCGTTGTGCTTTCGTGATCTCCTTTTGCAATTTGTTTTTCATTTCTTTTGAATTTAGCAGCTCCACCATCTACGGTGTTTGCCAGGAATATGCTTCTTCAAACACTTCTTCCGAGTCTGGTAGTTTCTCCTTCTGCGGAGTCCACTAAGTAGACTCTTCATGAATCGCTATATTCTCTCCTGAGTTATTGATCCAATCATTTTTTTCCAAGTCATCGATCTAATCATCTTCACAATCCATTTGTTCAAGCAGGACCACAACTAATGCTAATTCATTCTTTAAACTTGAATTGATTTTCTTTTCTCAAGCTTGTTCAATTACTGTTGTGGAAGCCACAGCATTCCATTCTTCTTCACTGTTATATTTCTCTTGCTCGTTGGAGGTTGTTATATTGCATTCTACTGACTCCTTTTTAAACCAACAATTTATAGCATGTGGCCTCGTTTACCACATACAAAACACGAGCCATTAAATCGTTGATATCCCTTAGATGGCCGACCTCTCTTGTCACGACTTCGTTTGGCTCCCTTTGTCACAGAACCTTCTTCATGTTTATTTTATTTTAATTCCTTATTATTTTATTGATGGTATCGACTTCTTCTTTTATAACTGAATAACGCTTCTTTCTCTTCTTTCTTTATTGAGACTTCTAACATTTGTTTAGTTAACGTTTCTTAGTCCGCCAGCAAATTTTCGAGATTGACCAATGAAGGTTGCTCTGGCCAACCTTGTATGGCAGTAATAAATCCTCTAAATTTGAATTTTAGATCATGTATAATTATTCNTTCATGCAGATTATATTCTAGATAGTTCGTCCATGGAAATAAATTCAGCAACTTGCTTATCCTTCCATGGTCTTCTAAATTAGAGGTAATGATTTGATAAAATTGATTCCTTCTTGTTTCTTCTTCAATGTTGATGGCTATGAAAAAATCTGGAAAATTGGTCATGATTCTTCAATTTTCCCATTCAGAACCAACTTTTCATTTTAACTCTTTTCTTTTTAGTCAAACTCAGCTTTGCCTCAAACTCGACAAGTTTTGATGTGATCGACCATTCAATTAATCTCTCCAACTCTTTCATTTTTTTCTCTTTATCAATTTTTAGATTAACATGATTTGTACTTAATTTCTCATGTCCGTCTAACTTCCTTATTTGTGATTGTGAATTTTGACGTATTTCAATCTCTTCTTGTAGATTTTGTTGATCCTCCACTAATATTTCCTGGTCCATGACATTTTGTTTAGGAATCTGTGTCACTCTTGTAATCTCTACTTTAACAATTGATACCTATAGATCTTTAGATCCCTCAACTATTCGTTGTGCTTTCGTGATCTCCTTTTGCAATTTGTTTTTCATTTCTTTTGAATTTAGCAGCTCCACCATCTACGGTGTTTGCCAGGAATATGCTTCTTCAAACACTTCTTCCGAGTCTGGTAGTTTCTCCTTCTGCGGAGTCCACTAAGTAGACTCTTCATGAATCGCTATATTCTCTCCTGAGTTATTGATCCAATCATTTTTTTCCAAGTCATCGATCTAATCATCTTCACAATCCATTTGTTCAAGCAGGACCACAACTAATGCTAATTCATTCTTTAAACTTGAATTGATTTTCTTTTCTCAAGCTTGTTCAATTACTGTTGTGGAAGCCACAGCATTCCATTCTTCTTCACTGTTATATTTCTCTTGCTCGTTGGAGGTTGTTATATTGCATTCTACTGACTCCTTTTTAAACCAACAATTTATAGCATGTGGCCTCGTTTGCCACATACAAAACACGAGCCATTAAATCGTTGATATCCCTTAGATGGCCGACCTCTCTTGTCACGACTTCGTTTGACTCCCTTTGTCACAGAACCTTCTTCATGTTTATTTTATTTTAATTCCTTATTATTTTATTGATGGTATCGACTTCTTCTTTTATAACTGAATAACGCTTCTTTCTCTTCTTTCTTTATTGAGACTTCTAACATTTGTTTAGTTAACGTTTCTTAGTCCGCCAGCAAATTTTCGAGATTGACCAATGAAGGTTGCTCTGGCCAACCTTGTATGGCAGTAATAAATCCTCTAAATTTGAATTTTAGATCATGTATAATTATTCCAGACTCCGAAATCTTACTTGAAGAATCTAATTTTGAAATTTCGCGACAAAGAGATTTAACTTATTAAAATATTGACTTATCGTTTGTTTTCATTGAGTGATCAAAAGTAGTTCATTTTTTAGCAATTGCAACATCGAGTCATTTTTCTTTGAAAATAGAGTGGTTAGAGTGTCACATGCTTCATTTGGTGTAGTCTTATCTTTTTTATACTCTAACAATTCTTCTTCAATTGTTGTCTTTATAACGAACATGGTCCTACCCGCTTTAATTCAGAGCTCCGGCCTCATCGGTGGCATCATGTCACTTCCACCAACAACTTCCCACTTGCCCTTGGAGATACAACTACATTCAAGTTTGCCATGTAGTGTAATTTTGATTATTGAGCTTCTTTACTCCGTCTACAACTTGTAGGCTTCCATCGTGACTTGATTTACCTCTTCATAATCAAGC